CACTCCACACCAGCGCCCTCCTTGCTGACAGGGACAGTGTGGGGAACGTCCACCAGGCTTCACATTTCTGGGCTGTTTCTGGTGCCCGAGCTGTGACCTCAGGCCAGGTCCCCGCAAGCCACGCCAGGACCCGCCTTTCAGCGCAGAGTGGCTCACTCCGGGGGAAGGCTCATGGTCGCGCTGATTCTTCAGACAGAACCCACCAGGCGAGGGAGGCGGCCTCAGCAGCAGACGGGGCCCTCGGCCTCCTGCAGGGCACCGGCCACACTCGAGGGCCCGCTGGGGAGGCCCTGCTCGCCAGCTGTCTCCTGGGATGCGCTCCTGGGGGCCCTGGTGGCATTGGCCCGGATGGAGATGTGGTCCCAGCCCCCCTGAAGGAGAGAGCTGCGTCACCAGGGCCGCAGGGGGTCACGGGGCAGGGGCCCTCCTTCCAGACGGCTGGGGCCCAAGGACTCCTGAGGGAATGCCCGGGTCTCCCACCAACCCCAGGCCAGGCCCCAGCCCGTCGGGGAGCACGTACAACGTGACCAGGCAGCCCTGGCCCAGCAGCCATCCCCGCGGGCTCGCTCACCCCGATGCCGTAGTCCCAGCCCTGCCCCTTGGGCTCCAGAGGCTGCACGCCTGTGCGGTGACACACGGTTCCCTGGCTCAGGCTGTGGCTGCCCTGGACTTTGTTGGCGATGACCCAGACCTGGAACACAGACCTGTTGAAGGCCCAGCCCTGGCTGTGGTGGCACCGTGGGGACGGCAGTAGGGAGACCAGAGCAGGCACCCGAGCCCCTCGGTCCCCAACCCCAGAGCGAGCATCAGCCTGTCCTGAGCCTCCGACCTGGTCCAGGGGCCCCACGGACACTCGGCGCACATTGTTGGACACGTGCTCCCAGCTGGAGCCCTGCGGGTAGCTGGGCGTGACCCCCTGGCGGTACCACAGGTTCCCTGGGGAGAGAAGGTGTGACCCACGGTGAGGCCCAGGGCGTTGGGACCCACCGCAGGGTCTGCGAAGCCAGTGGTCTGAC